CCTGTGAGTAAGCATGCAGGAAGGAAGGGGTGGCGGGGCAGAAACTCTATCCTCCCCCTGGCCTGTTCAGCCCATGCAGGGTGGCTGGAAGGAGCTCTGCACAGCCAGAGCTGGACTGGAAGGAGCTTCAGGGGCAAGAAACATGAGACTTTGCTTTCCCAAAATGAAACACTCCTAAAGCTGAAGGCCAAAAGCGCTTTAAAGCTTGTGACTTTGTCCTTGTAATCCTTTGTGGGGAATGTGCCTTGCCCACCCTGGGCATGAGCCCCATAGCTCAGTTAGGAGCATGAAAACACGGCAGCTGCCCCTTCCCCGGGTCTGGACAGAGCGACTCCCGCCTCGCTGTGCCATGACAATTGCTGGCGGCTCTGAAGGGCCCCAGCAGCCGGGCCCAAGCCAGAGAACTGCAGCCATGTGCCACCAACAGGGCTGATGAGTGGCTGCCACTCATGAGGCAGTGAGCAGGGAGGCAGGGGAGCAGGGAAAGGGCACTTACCCCCTGTGCTGGGATGCCTCCGCGGCAAAGGACTCCAGTGAAAAGGGCAGGAAACCTGGAAGGGAGAAGTACTGGGGGGAGAGAAATCAGCTGCCCCCTCTCGCTCTCTCTGAGGCTTCTACGTCAAGGGGCAGGACAACTGTCGGCACCAAACCTTTATCAGCTTTCTAAATTTAGCGTTGTCCTGACGCTGGCTGCTGGACTGCACAGGGAAAGAATTCAGTGCCTCATAGACGGCAGCTGGTCAAGCACTTAACTCCTTCCCCGCTGTGGGCTGGATCCTCCAACATTTCGCAGTTGTAGGAGGAGCCCAGACAAGAACCCAGAGCCAGTGAGGCTGGACCTCTGCCTGCAGGGAGACTTCAGGCAGCTGGGACCCCACCAGGCGCAACCCGCCTACTGGTATGAGCTCTGATGTCCTCGGGAAACGCCATGTGGGATGAACCACTCCAAGCTTACTAGAAGCAAGCTACCTATCAACTACCTAGACTTCTGTAAAGTCTTTGATACAGCCCTCCCCCCAAGATTCTTACCTCTAAATTGGAGAGATATGGATTTGATTGGTGGACTACTTGATGGATAAGGAATTGACGGGATGGTTATGTCCAGTTATAGTCAATGGCTCAGTGTCTAAATTCAGATCAGTAACAAGTGGTGTCCCTCATGGGTCCATATTGGGACCAGTACTGTTCAATGTCTTCATTAATGACATAGACACTGTGACCGAGTGCGTCCTCAGCAAGTTTGTGGATGACACCAAGCTGAGTGGTGCAGTTGATTTGCTGGAGGGAAGGGATGCCATCCAGAGGGATCTTGACAGGCTTGAAAGGTAGGCCCATGCAAACCTCATGAAGTTCAACATGGCCAAGTGCAAGGTCCTGCACCTGGGTCAGAGCAATCCCCAATATCAGTACAGACTATAGAACAAAGGGATTGAGAGCAGCGCTGTGGAGGAGGACTTGGGGATACTAGCAGATGAAAGATTGGACATGACCTGGCAGTGGGCACTTGCAGCCCAGAAAGCCAATTGCATCCTGGGCTGCATCAGAAGAAGGGTGACCAGCAGGTCGAAGGAGGTGATTCTCCCCGTCTACTCTGCTCTCATGAGACCACACCTGGAGTACTGCATCCAGTTCTGGGGCTCCCAGCACAAGAGGTAGACCTGTTGGGACCAGGTCCAGAGGAGGGCCACCAAAATGACCAGAGAGCTAGAACACCTCTACTACGGAGAAAGGCTGAGAGTTGGTGTTGTTCAGCCTGGAGAAGAGAAGGTTTCATTGTGGCCTTTCAGTATACAAAGGGGGCTTACAAGAAATACGGAGAGAGACTTTTTACCAGGGCCTGTAGTGACAGAACAAGGGGCAGTGATTTTAAACTAAGAGGGTAGATTTAGATTAAAGGATGAAATTCTTTACAATTAGGGCAATGAGACACCAGAACAGGTCACCCAGAGAAGTTGTGGATGCCCCGTCATTGAAGTGTTCAAGGTCAGGTTGGATCGCGTTTTCACCACCTGATCTAGTGAAAGATGTCCCTGCCCACTGCAAGGAGGTTGGACTAGATGATCTTTAAAGGTCCCTTCTGACCCAAACCATTTTTTGGTTCAATGATGGTATGGTTAGCTGATTTTTGTTCTTGGAAGAGCTAGGACTGAGGTACACTGTTGTCTTCTATGATGCATTTTCAAAGAGGAAACTTACAGTTCCCATCTCTTGATGCCTCAGCAAAGCTCATGGGCCAGGCTGCTCCAAGGCAGAACCAGATGAAAGCCTAAGTTCTATTTACCTGTACTGCGGGCTCCAGTTCTGAGTCATGCGATGACATCCCACTGTTGATTCCTTTTGCAAACAAACAAGCAAACAAGAAAGGAAGTGGAAAAGACAACTGACCTATCTCATACCACAGATACCTTTGCTGCTGCATCATGCTGCTGCTTCATGCATAACCCCCTTGCTTCTTACTTGAGTGCTGCACCTCCACATGGGGATGGGCCCACATCTACAGGGATGCCCCATCATAGCAGGAACGAGCTGTGAAACAGGCACCCTAGTCTTTGCTCACAGCCTAGACTTGTGTTGTTAATACAGTTACTGGGGTGAGCAAGCAGGAACAAGAGAAAGTGGTATATTAAATCTCGAGTGTCATATCAAGGGGGAAACCCGATTACAGTTTTGAAATGATCGTAACAGTTCCATGTACCAAAAGAGGATGAATTGTGTTGATCCTACAACTGCCTCCTCTGGGCAATGCAAGTTTTAGCTGCTTCTGTAATGCAGTGCTACATGTGTTTTTGTTAATTACTGCTAATTGAGGCTGGAAGTGATCTAAAGACATTTGCCTATGGACTCCCTCATTACTGGAGAACAGAGTTTTCAAAGGACCTAAATGTTGTGGGAGCACATATACCATTAATACCCAAAAAACCCTGATGCTTTTAAGTCACTGAGCTGCTTCTGAAAATTCTGTTTGTGAATCTTTAGGCTACAGCTGCAATAGGGTATGCTGGCTAGACCTGAAAGCCCTGCCATGCCCACCGCAACCGTTTACACGTAGAGATGCCAATAGGATTGCATATGTTGCAGACTTGTGGAGAACACACAGACAGCAGGCAGCCTGGCAGCTCTTTCTCACTGCTTGTTACAAGTTGTTGCTTTATGGGATCAAGATGACCATGCAGAACAGAAGCAAGAATGCGAGAAATCTTTGCTCATGAATGTATGAACAGGCAAACATAGCAAAAGTAACAAGCTGTAAGTGGTTGGACATCTGTCACTGGTGATTAATATACCCATGCACAGATGAAACTCAACTGAACATGGTCAAGTGTTGTCCTCTTAGGTGGGAAAGATGAGAACTTGATGGAAGATTCCTCTTTCTCTGTCTTAAATTAACAGGATTTACTATCATTTATAGAGTTAGCACTATGCTACCTATGAATTAATCCTCATTGGCTTTTATAAGTGAGCCTTATGAGAGTATGTATTTTTGGCAACACAGTGAAGCCACCCTAATTTCATATTAAAGCTTTTCATGTCAATGACAGTTTCATTGAAATAAGCTAATAATATCCCCTAAAAAACCTATATATCAGGAAAAAGAGTCCCCAGAGTTGCAGCCATCAGCAAAAATAAGATTTGAAGGGTCTGCATTGCCCATGGGTGAGTCATGAAGAAGTCAACGTGTGTCAGTCTATGCTAAGACATAGGTCTGTGTTAGCCTCAGTAGGGCCATGGCAAAGCCTTGGCAGTGTTGCTGGTACCTATGGCAGTTCTTTTAGCTGAGGTGCCAATGCCTGTGAGTTTTGGCAGTTCACAGTAGAAAAGGAAAGAAAGTCAACCCAGAAACAAAATAAAAATCTCTGAAAATTGCCAGCTGTCCCAGTCTTTGAGTTTGGGCAGCTCTACTGACTTCTCATAGGTAAACTGTACATTTGGATCCTGGGTTATCAACAGCTCCTGAAGCCCCCAAAAAGAACTGTCAGGGAAAACTAACAGGATATAAGTGCCTAAATACCTTTTCCAATCAAGGCCTAAATAACTAACAAAAGCAATACATGAAGTGCATCTAAACAAGTGTCTTAATATCAGATTTATGTACGTATCAGGTGTTGAAGCATATGCTCTGTATGATACCTAGGAAACCAGTCTTATTTAGCTAAGTCTCCAAAACAACAGAACATTATCAATCTCAGCTCCAACTTACTTACTTGTAATGCACCTGAGTGGCTGATAGAGGCAGGGTAAAACTGTTCCCACAGGGAATCGTTTCCAGTTAAGGCAGCCTGTCCATGTTATGGACCATGAGACAAAATCCAGTACCTGTCCCTCCTCCCCAGCCCAGTGGAACAATACACACACCAATATGCTTGGAGAGGATGCACCTTGTTACTTTTACAGTTAAATAAAAAATCATGTGAACATAGTTCATTTGTTGCAGGGTTAACATGCAGTGCTTAATCTACGTACCATCTTCTATACAGTAGGGTTACTAAACTCAGACCTGCTGTAGGTATTTGAGGAACTACTGTTATAGGCACTGTTTTCAGCTTAACTCTGCAAGTTCTCTCTATTGTGGGTTTTTTACTAGCCAGTTGCTGAAGTTAAGAAAATAGATTAAATCCGCAAGCAGTGGGATTAACAGGCCGGGTTTCCAATGGACGTGTGTCCTGCAGTGCAGGTGCCAGAGCACGATCAACATCCCTCAGAGTCATGAGCTCTTGACCCCTGTGACTTCTCAGTATACCATATTTCCCTATCTATCTGCCTGGCTGTGAAAGAGATAAGACATACCACAGTTAGGTGCATCGGCTGTGCCAACACCGATTCTTGGATTGGAAGACAATGATTAATGCCTAAGAGGTACCATTAATTTAGATTTCTCTCTTATCCCAACTGATTGGGATTGCTGATTTTTGTGAGACTGAAAGGAACTTCCCATCTTTAAGGTTATTATTCATCTGTCAAGTTTAGCTGAAATCAGTCAAGTGGATTTTGAAATTATCAGGAAGAAGAGAAGTTGTATAAATGATAGTGAAAGTCTTATTTCTGTGAAGAGGATAATGGCAACCTTACCAAGTTGGACAGTAGCCAAGTTCTTCTGGGGAACAGTCAAAGCTGTTATGTACAGAACTGAGAATTAACAGAGGCAGTATGGGCAGATGATGTACAGTGACAGCATTTCTGTCATTATCTCTGTTCATCAGATTCAGCTAAAATATTAAATGAGCAAAATCAAAAGTGTGAAAGCTAGAGTAGAGATCCTACATGTCTCTCCCTGGAGGCTGTGGGATAAAGTCACAAAGATCTTAAAGTCTTTAAAGGAGGTAAAAATTTAAGAACCTCATCCTTGTGGGGAACCTCATCCTTGTGGGCTCTACAGAGAAGAAAGGAGACTGCTGACCTTCCTCCAGTTTTGTTTACATCTCAAGTCATTTGCAGTTAGCATTTAGAGGTTAGCAAGCTGTTTTTGGAAAAAGGCTCACCTCTCTTTGCAGGGTCCTTGTCTTCTCCTAATGCCTACAGCCTACTGAAGATAAGACGCATACAGCAGGATGGATTTTTCTACTGGCTCTCCTCATTTGGAAGATTGCCAAATAATACAGTTTGTGTACTC